GCCCCTGCCCCAAATACACAAATAAGTAAAAAAAACATAATGTAAGTCAAAATCAGAATGCAGTGAAGTCGATGGATTACCTTCTATCATCTTATCCATCTTCTTGGACACACTTGAAGGCCAAGTAAGTCCACAGTTTTCAATCCTCGAATATGTAGCATTGCGCACACCATAAGCACAACCCTTTTCATGCAACTTACCCACAAAATCTTTGACGATGTTAAGCTCATTTTTAACCCTTTTAGCTTCAAGTGTTTTCAACAACACATCAATTTCGTCTTCCTCTTTGGTTTCATCTTCACCAAATCCAAATAGATTTCCTTGTGGGAAGGGTATTTCTTCATCTGGGAGGCAAAAGCGACTCAGTATGGTGTTGATAAACACCTCATCTGCTACTCTTGGAACCTCTAGGACGATCTTCATCGCCTTGACTTTTTCACCTAACTTATCTGACCTTGTCAATGCACCCACAACAGCTTCACAACGGAAGCGTTTTGGCTTCAAACCATAAAACTTCTCCATGGATAAGAGGTAGGAGGCCGCATTTTCGGGTTCAATGCCTTTGAATAGGGCCCGTAAGGTCACGTCAGTTGGACGCAAGCATTTTCTCATTGCCTCTTTATAGAGGGGTTCCGCCAAGAATGGGGCGGTCTTGGAGCAGACAAAGAGGAGAGCATTGTGCATTGTAGAGCACAATGCTCTTGTTTCGGCGTTCGTAGAAGAGCCTTCATGCGTGATTCAGATTACCTACGTTGCCATACAAACCAACTACGCGATAAACACCCATTCCCGACTAAGCAATCCAAGTTTCAAGGTCAAGTCGTGGATCGATTTCACTTCGTTAATCTAACTAATGATAGAAATTGCTTGAGTTTTCAAATACTAATCTTGTGCGTAAAAAGTTCATTCCCAACCAGATAGTCTTTGCAATTGAAGTTCATATACCCAATTAGGTAAGATATAAAATGTTTAGTCTTAAGAATTGAAACTCCGGTTTTGTGATGTAGTGACAGAAGCTTATGAGTTGGTGATTTTTCAAACCTTTGTTTTTTTCGGTAATAGATAATGTATGTATATGAGACAAGTTGGGTTCAATTTAAAGCATATATGAACTTCAGAAGTTGTTTCCAACGGATGTCACCTTCAATGCGTTGCTTCCAGTAGCTTTATCAATTTTTTGGGATTGGAGACGGCTGCCATGTGTCATATAATTTTTTGACATTTATCTTTTTAATTTATTTATTGAAAAGAAAATAAACATTAAGGGTCGTTTAATAGCTTTATCAATTAATTATAATAATTAAATAGCTAATTCTTATGTAAATTAATTCTAACAATTAAGTGATTTGTGTAAATTAATTCTAAAAATAGAATCACGTCAAAAAATAATTCTTATGTAAACTAATTCTAAAAATAGATTAATTCTTATGTAAAAATAGCTAATTCTTATGTAAATTAATTCTAAAAATAGAATCACTTCAAAAAAGAATTGATGTGAAAGATTAAAATTATAGCGAAGCGATAAATAAAGAGACAAAAATACAATCTAGTATCAATTATTTTTCTATTTTTTTATTCAAAGTTCTAAAGAAATAAATAAAAATATGCATTCCAATATCTTTGTTGAGATGATGTAGTTGTTCTCTGATCAATAGATTTTTACAGACGTATTTGATGCAGAAAAAGACGACCAATCATTTTTAAAGAAAATTGTAGTGAATACTGATTCAGACATACAAGTTGAGGATTTTTGCCAATGCAGATGTCTTCCATATGCTTTAATTTTTTTTAATGAACGGTCTATTTTTTTTTAATATATAACATTGTATATGTCCAACAATTTGCTACAAATGCTTAGTCTTAAAACTTAGATAATTATCTACTATAAACACCAAATTTATATAATACTAGATGAAGGATCTGCATATATGCGGGTTTGTGATTTAATCTTCTATAAATCTATAAAAATAAAATATTTAATATCGGTGAACAAAATTAGATCATATGTTAACATAAATAAAATCAAAGTAAAAATGTTACGGCAAAACCATTGATCGAGAAAAATATCA